AATAAATCAGGAGAAAGAAATAACAGTCAGAAAGGGGAGTGGTGGGAATAAAAATCTCCCCTGTTTGCAGATGACATGATTGTTTATGTATAGATTCTCAAAGAAATTTTAAAAGAATATCCTGGAACTTAATCAGGGATTTCAGCAAAATCACAGAATATAGGATAAATATACACACCAAAAAAATCAACTGTATTTCTATATACTTGCAATGAAAACATGGACACTAAAAATACGAATACACTACCATTTGTAATCACTCAAAAATAAAATGCTCAGGTATTAATCTAACACAAATATATAGGAGTTACTTGCTAAAAAGTACAAAACATTGATGAAGGAAATCAAAATAACTAGAGAAATATACCTTGTTCATAAGTTTGAAGTCTTAACATAGTAAAAATGTCAATTCTCCCCAAATTAATACACAGGTTTAATGAAACTCCTATCAAAATCTCAGCAAGGGGAGTAATGTCAGTGAGGGGGTGGAATAGGAGTTTCCAGTGCTTCTTTGTAAATACATGCTCTCTGGTGGGTTAACACTCAATACAAAGAGAAAATCCTCATATACTGTGCCCACTCCTAGGGGCACTTTCTCAAGCCTCTCCCCTGTTGCAATCCAATTTTGGCTTGAACTCAGTATCAAGTCAATTTGTTAATGACCTGCCCTCAGGCATTTTCTCCCGGGGTCTGACATTGAGAGCTCCCCCAGGAGGTCAGTTGTGTCTCCAAGGGAGAGGTCATAAAGCCATCAATAGAAGTAGTTAAGTATGTGGGCGTCTCAGTCACTGTTCATGGAAATTGTCTTGTGTATGTACCACTTCCATTTCACAATAAGTTGCTTCTGGACCACCCTAAGCTTATGTCTAACAGTACCCACTTCCTGAGAGTTAGTTCTGGCTCCAAACTCAGCTGATAAGCCCTGGTTAAATATTCTACCACCGTCAGTGTCTGCCGGGGCTAAATAACATACTACAAGCTATTTTTTAATGGTGACTCTTTCTCTTTTGCGGATGGCATGGCTTCGGTCCAGAATGCTAGAGGTCTATGCTACGATTCTCATACTGGAAATTATCATAGACTCTACATTATTTTTTCCATGTATCTCTTCTACCATAGGAACTGCTAAGTCGTATGATCCAAGGGACAGAACTGCTGCACCACAGTCCACTCCTGCTTGCAGAGCCCACGTTTTTCCTGGCCCCATTCAAACCTGGGAGATTCCCATGTCACTCGGTGAATGCAATCAGAACAATCTTCCCCAAAATAGAATGTATTGCCTTAAAAGCTTGACAAGCCCAACAAGCAAAATACTTTTTTCTTATGGGTAAAATTGCAACATATAATAACTGTCTTTTGAATGAGATGCCCTGGCTTTCTCCACGCCCCTGGAGTTCCTGTATCTAATCACAGCCTCCAGGGTACTTGTCACTTGTTGCCCATCAAGTTCCTATTGTTCATTACTTCCTATCATCAGTACGGTAGTAGAATAAGGTGATGTTCTGTGGTGTGTTCAAAAGGTCTGGGTCCCTTCTGACTATATTGTGACACATTGATATAAAATTACATAGGCCTGTGGCAAGACCATAAATGTGTACTATCATTTATTGTATATAAATATGAGATGCCTCTGATCCTCTCTCACAGTGGATCTTGAAAAAGAATGCACTTGTCTAGCCAAAGTCTATGCACTTGAGGCTGTAATCTGCTCTGGTAAAGATATTACATCCAACACAGCAGCTACGATTGGGTTACGACTTGGTTCAGTTCGCAAGATCCACTATACTTCGCCATGACCTATCTTGGTTTTTCAGGTACCAAGCTGGCAAATTATATAGGCACAAGTGGGGACCACTACCCTTGTACCTAAAAGTCTTTTAGGATGATATTAATCTTTACCATGCCCATTGGATGCAATATTGGCTTCTATTTACTAGCTTTTCTGAAAGAGACAGCTTCAAGGACTTCTGTTTGGCTTCTCTTACTACAGTGGCTATTACTTATCAAAGAACCAAAATGAGCATTCTTCCATCTGCTAAATATGGCCATTGCAATTATATATTAGAAGCCAGAGACGTGGGCCACCTACCACTTTACCTGTATATGCCCCTGCCCTAACCTAACACAGTGGCCAAAATATTTGGGGGTGGTTCCTGTATCCCATCTCCCCTGGAATGAATATATATATACATATATATACATACATATAAACATATATATTTTATATGTAATATGTTTTTATATATGAGGTCTGCCCAGAAAAAGTCCAGCCATTGTTAACATAATGAGAATGGTTTGCACATCAGTGTAACCTGGCAGCCAAGGAGAGCAGACTAGAATATGCATGTGTGAACAATGATAACTTCACTGTACTAGTCAGTGGGGGCAGTAGACACCCCCCCCACTGTTCACCATTGAGTGAACATATGTACTGTGTGGCCATCACATTCAAAATGACTGAGCAAGTAGAGCAATGAATCTGCATCAAATTTTGCATTAAGCTTGAACATTCCTTCATGGAAATTATGTGGATGAATCAGAAGGCCACAGCTGTGGGCAACTAACGACTAGCAGTTTCATTACAACACAGCCACTCGTGCATCACATCTCATGCAGAGTTTTTTGGTGAAACATCAATCACCCAGGTGACTCAGCACCTGCTACAGCCCAGATTTGGTGCCCTGTGACTTCCGACTTTTCCCAAAGCTAAAATCACCTTTGAAAGGGAAGAGATTTCAGACTGTCAATGGGATTCAGGAAAATGTGATGGGGCGGCTAATGGCGATTGGGGAAACTGTGTGAAGTCCCAAGGTGCCTACATCGAAGGGGTCTGAGGCATCGTTGTCCGCTGTACAATGTTTCTTGTATCTTGTGTCTCCTTCAATAGATGTTTATTTTTCATTACGTGGCTGCATACCTTCTGGACAGACTTCATATTCTTGACTTCCCATATATCTTGTCTCTAGGAACATCACTTTCTGTTAGCAATCTCCAAAGATCCGTAGGGACAACACCAGCCTTAAACTGTCCTTTCGACCTTGCTGCCATTACAGTACTCCTAACCACCTGGTTTATTACCGTTAAGTGCTGCCATCTGGCCTCAGCCAGTCATTGACCAAGGCCGCCCTGGTTGGAGATGGACAGGATAAACTCCTGGTTAAGTGGGAAAAGGAGGGTGCTGTTAGCTGTAAAACTTCCCAGCAGTGGGGGGATGAGGCTCCAGCCAGACGCTCAGATGTGGGCAGTCATCCTCAGTGCCCACAACACTACCCTTCGGCACTGGGCCAGTAGCTAGCTGAACATCCGGGCACCCTGCTTGCTTGGGGATTTTGTCTCTTTGCTCTGGACAGAACTGCCAAGACCTGCTCAACAGACACTTCCATGTTGGCAGTTTGTGGCTTCCGGAAATATGTGCCTGGAAAAATTAACAGAACAGCATTAAGGAATCACCTATAAATACAAGCTTGCTGGGTTGTTTAAGAGAAAAGATGAATGTAATGCTCAAGAACAGGACATGTGGAAATTCTACGCTTCTGCTTTTGGGAGCAGAGGCTGACGCTCTGGCCAAACCCCTCGGGCAGCCTGGCATGACTCAGAGTAGCTCAGAAACCCAAGATTTTCGGGTCTAATTTGATAATACCTTTCCGATGGTAATTGGATAATACCTTTCTTATGATAATACTTTTCCAATGCTTTGTCTTTAAATTCAGGTATTGTAAAACCTGATCTTATTATTAAAATACTGTTACACCTGTGTAGGAATGATTTTGAAAGCCAGGATTTTTTTTTTCTTTTTCTACTCCTAAGGACAGAACAGCCTCTCCTATGGCAATTCACATCTTGATGGAATCAAATTCGAGTCACATGATGTGACAAAGGATTTCCGTGCTTGTACCTAAGACTTGGCAGTCCTGGGACAAATTGATGGTTCGGGAGGGCTAAACAGGATATTTGAAACGGAAATTTGCAGTAGGCTGTACCATGGGCATGTCCTACTCGCTGGAAACTGTGTTACAAAGGGGACGTAAGGGGGCAGGGTGGGGGCAATGAAAAGGTTGGAAATTGAATCCAGGTTGCTTGCTAGTCAGCTAACCTTACAACAGAGAGGTTTTCTGAATTATCCAGGTGGGTCCAACGTAATCACAAGGGCCTTTAAAGGTCTGAGGCAGGCGGGACTCGAGAAGGTGCAGACACAACATTGCTGACTTTGGAGATGGAGGCAGGGGGCCAAGAGGCAGCGGATGGGGTGATCTGGAGAGCTGGAGGGAGTGCGTGCTCCCCGGAGCCCCCAGAAAGAAGGCCGTCCTGCTGTCACCTTGATTTTCGCCCAAAGAAACCCGTGTCAGACTTCTGACCTCCCGAACCATAGAAAAACACACTTTAAAGCTGCTAAATGTGTGGTGATTTGGTACAGCAGCAACAGGAAATTCATGCAGGATTGCTCTAGAAATCAGGAACACACTACGCCTGTGCCTTTAGTCTAGAACAATTATTACCGCTTTCATGGGGGAGCCTAGACATACATACTGTCTTTGGTGGTTGTGGGGTGGACAAAAGAGATGGTGGAGCTCAGCATGTGAAGTGAGAACTGGGAGAGAGGGGGGGAAAAACAGCCCACTGTGTAGACAGCAGTTGAGGAAGTGTGAATCAAGTTCAAACCAAGGCTAACTTCCTCTGATCGGTGTACCCAAAAGAAGGGCAATGGATTGTGTTATTTCAACATTATCTTTGTTGACTTTTCATAGAAATATCTTATGTATTTTAAGTAATTGGTGTGCCACAGGTTGTACCTTTTATAATCTGAAATCAAAACCTTTTAACAAGATGTAGGTGCCAAGTCATGATGAGGGGTATATACCGTGCAAGTCAAATTTTGTCGACCGACAATTTTGAAAAATATAAATATCTCTGTACTAACAAACCCGTAAGCTGAGGATCATTGGAGGAGACTACATCAGTTACTGTTGAAAAAGATTTCCCAACAGAATTAAGAGTTTTTATTTAAAAAGAAAAACATCAGTAGTCTAGAATCTATTTTTGTGACTGCCACCAGAGGGCGATACAACCTTTGCCAAAGATAAACACCCAGCTGGTTCACACTTGGAGAATCATCTTCTTCTTCTTTTAAGATAGCAACATTGCCAGGGGAAAAAATGAACACCACTAGCATATTTTGATTTTTCCCATGTCTTTTTACTTATATATGTTACCTTGTTTTTATTTTTATCTAACAAGTCAACCTGGAAAACATCAAGCAGGAGAAATGAGCCATGACACTTTTTCAGTTCAGTCCAAGAGCATAGTGACAGAGAATGAAAGCACAATGAAATTGAAGGTGTCACTTCCCCATTAACATCTTGCCCCCAAAGACCATGCAGAGCTAAAGGTCACATCGCCATCATGCAAGGACATTCACAAACACGGTGGTTATAATCTTGGTTTTTGTTACAGGATGCTAAGTGTCTCCGTGGGGCATGCTTCCCCTTTGGACTCAAGGCAAAGAAATGTCAATACAGGGCAGTTAAGTCTCCTCACAGCTAGAGAAATGTAAGCACTATTTTTTAAACACAGAACCCATTTTGAACGTTTTCTCTGTGGCCTGTGGCGATACAGGGAAGAGTAAAGATGAGCAGTGGATGCAAGAGGATGCTTCCAGTTTTATCATACAGCAAAACACGTCGCTGTTCAACATCTTGTCCACCGAGGTGGATGTCACACAGTGAGGGGTGGCATTGTCCCTCTCCCCGGGCCGTTTTAAATGGGTCATTAAAATCTGGTGTCAGGGGCTTCTCTTTCCAAGTTCCAAAAGCCTTGGCATGGCCGTCGCTTCTAGGACCTAGTTTCTCTTGGGAGATAAGGATACAAAAGAATTGGATGAGAAATAAGTGGGAAACCCCCATCCAAATATCATATTGTATTAGATGCATCCTAAATCTTCATTTGGATATGGCAGCTTTTCAGTAAATAGTAACTTTTTTTAGATAGGCCTCCCGTGTGCTTAGATTACTCAGTAAATCTCTGTGTGGCTGTATCAAAATATTGCTTATAAATATCACCTCTCTTTAAAAGACTTTAAAGTGTGTTTGTATTTTGTGTTTCATCTCTATGATATTATTTGTGATTTAAAGGCTCTCTAAGGAAATTACCATCATAATTACATGAGAAGCAACAGAGAGAGGTGACTAGTGGTCCCTAGTCACTAAGCTCAGTCTCTGGTATCTACTGACGCTCTTCAAAAGGAAAACAAAATAAAAACACTCCATTTCTTCAAGTGTATCTCTGCCCCCCAAGGATCTCATAGCACCTAACAAGCAGGAGACTTTTAGAAGGAAGGAAAGAAAACCCCAAGTGATTAGGTTGAACGCCAATTCACAGTCGGCGGGTCACGGCAGGAAGGACAGTAACCTGTGCGATCATGAGGAGGAGCCGTGTTCTAGGAGAAGAGGCCCCTTGGGGTTCAAATGGATGGCTTTGCAAAAGCCACCTCGGCCGAGGGCCCATTTCAGCACCACGGTGCGCACACTCCCAGTCAAACTGCTCAGTCCCAACAGCGACTGCGCAAGGTAAAGGGACAAGTTCAAGTCCTGGCTTGAACTCCAAGTACTCTCTTTTGCAGCACCTCACTTTTCAGTTTGTTTCCTTCCTCCATCAAAAGGAGTAGTAAAAATCCACAATCACCCCACGAAGACCACTGGGGCACTGGAGGGGGGTCCTGAAACACACTGCTCGCAAACTGTGAAATAACACGTAAACAAAAGACATTGGTTTCACAATGAACTCTGACTCCAAATGTAAGTTCTTTTGTAGGACTTCTGGAGTGTTTGCAAAAGTGTGCTTTATGATTCTTCCTAGGCCTTTGATGCTATCCTGGGATTGTAATAGAACTAAGACTTACTAAAAGCAAGGAATGGGACCTGAGTGTGGGACCAGCTAACTTAGCATGTGCTATGAGGTACCAGCAAGTGAGGGAATCACACGAGGCGCCAATTCTAACAACAGTAAGCAGTGGTCCTTCCCGCAACCCCCAAGAGGAGTCTCATTCAGATCCTAATGCACAGGAAGCACCACAGGTTTGGACCTGGTTATGCTCAGATTTCTCCACTTCCTTCTTAAACAGCCAAGGCTCTGGGCCACTCCGTAGCCCTCAGACCCTTTGTCTACAAGAGTGGGTAGAACAGTATCCCTTTAAGGTGATTTTGGTCTCAGAGAGCAGGGTGCAAAACAGCGCAGTTCCGTTTAACTTTCTTTTGGGGAGATTCTGCAAAGTAGCTCCTTTTAACTAACAAAGCAAACACTTCTAGGCTAACCTGATGTTCAAAAATAGCTGAAAGGCTAGATTAAGTAACCTCACAGACCTACTTTGACTTGAGTGGCTCTGAAGGAATTTACACCAAAAGGTCAGTTAAGTAAGTATTAAGGAAAAGCCAAGGTCGAGCACTGAAGTCCCAGCCCTAGGCTATTCCAAGCCCTAGCCAAAAACTCTGGGAAGCCTTCAATTTAGGAAAACTCTTGAAATGCACAGGCTGGTGTTAGAAACCAGAGAACAAAAGGTGGAAGACCTGTATGTCATACGCCGTTCTTATATTGTCCATTCCTTCCAGTGTATCCCCTTCCCTCCACACTTGACACTGTGGATCCTAGGCCATCGCCCACCCATCGAATAGCTGCTAGGTGATCATTCCAAGAGCAGAGATGAAACACTGGCCTCTCCAACCAGAGTCTGAGGACTTGGACCGTTTCTTATGTCTGGTGTCAACAGGAACTCGTCGCAGGTCAGGCGCCCTCCTCTGTGTGGTCTGGGTCTCGCCCAGCCCAACACATTCTGCTTGGTGTGGGAGCTTTGAAGTGTCTGCCTGGCCAGACTGACTGACACGCCACCCACGTGCATGAGCTTCTGGCTGTACAAGTTGCTTCCTGTTGTGTTTTGTGCTTTTTTTCCTTTCTTAATGCAAAGGTTCTTTTTTTCTGTTTGCCAGGTTGAAGACTTCTTAGTAAAGGTTGGGGAAATATGCAGCAACTATTTCCATTTGTCTTGCAGATAAAATTCAGGGGGTTGCATCCATTTGAATGTCAAGCCGCACTCTTTATACAGAAAAATGTGTTATGTCTACAAGTTGCTAGGGGCAGGCCCAAAGTGGGCTTTTGGTGGGTTGTGGTTATTTTTGTGGTGAAAAATATTCATGATGATTAGTGAGGGAGGACTTTCATATTGTTTCTCTAATAAAATTAGTTCTTTTTAACAACAGACCCCTAAATTTCAATTAGTCTTTAGACAAAAGACTACATTAGATGTGTTTCATTTGGTTTAGGGCTTGTGGACAGAAATGACATAAAACTTGAAGTTTATTTCCTACAAGGGGTAACTTCAGCTGAAAGTCCATTTCTGGTTCAGGAAGTGACTTAACACAGAGAAGTTTAAGCCCTCCGCAGGGAGGGTGAGAGGGAGGAGGAGAGAAAGAGAGAGAGATCAGAACGTAAAAGACTATTATGGCATGCTCCACAGTTATCCTGCAAGATTTCCTGAGCATCCTGCATACATTCCAGTCTATGATAACTCCAGCGAATCGATAATCAATAGTAGTCCTCTTTTTCTCAAGCACAATGTATATGCTTTGAGAATATACACTCGGCAAAAGATACAATAGTATATCATATTTTAACACACTGGTAATTAGGTCTTCTATAAATATACTTAAATAACAAACACAGCTATTCACACAGGACACAAAGTGACATAAACATACAAAAATAAAACAATCATGTTTTAAATCTTTTGTTGTTTTTCTTGGGTGATTTTTTGGGGGGGAGTAAAGATATTTAAACAATTCAGTTAATAGAATCGTCTTGTCAAGATTTAACCTGGGGAACAAGATACAAATTTACACTGTGCACAGGCACCACGGCCAAGGGCAAAAGCAGTGAACATTCCCTGATGGACCTGTCATTGTCTCCCATGGTGGTTCAGAAAAGCTTGGAGTTTGTAGAGGCCTCCAAGGGTTTTTTTTAGCTGTGGAAAGGAAACAGAGTCAGATCCCACCCTCCCCCCAAGCTGGATGAACTGTGACACCACCAAGCTGTCCTTTGAGCAAAGGGGATGAACCTAGAACACATGTCTCCTTCTTGAATTCTCCCATACCCCACTCACGGAAAAGGTACAACCCTTCTGGACCATGGGCAGGGGATTTCCACAAAAACATTTGTCCTGTTCCAGCTGCTGCTATAGGAAGCATCCCTTCATTCAACAAAATGATTTGGAGAACTCAGCTCCCCAACCAGGTAGAATATGTGCTTCTCCATTTGGAGAACCAAGTATTTCTATGAATACCTATCCCTAGTAAAATGTGATCTTTTGTCCAATAATGTCGTAATTCTCTTGAGAGCAAGGAACAGAAGATAGAGTTCCCAAATCCCAACGAGAGCCCAGCATAACTGTGAGCTCCCGACAGAAACACAGGACTGCTCAGTTGGACTCCATCACTTCCGTCTCCATGGAAACGCCACACCTGGAAAGAGTCCTGCTGCTATTGGCCCTCACTCAAACTGCATCTTTACAGGGAGCTGATGCTTGAGGAACTAGTCTTGGCTTTCCATTTATGGAAAAATGGAGCTCTGGCAACATCTTGAAGAGTTGCTTGTGGGAAGAAGGGGAGAGAATTCTGGCTTGTTCTCAAATAGAACTTTCAACAGAGGCCGAGGAAGATGGTTTCCCAAATCCCTGGGGGTTGCCTTCAGGGGCAGATGCAGGGTCCTGCTGCTGCTGGTAGATGTCCTGAATCAGCATGGTATTCATGACCTTCCACTCCCTGTATTTTCTGGCTGTCAGCTTTGGATCATCCAGCAGCTGGTTAATCATGGCCAGGTCATGTTCTTTACACTGTCCAAGTAGAAAAAAAAAAGGAGGGGGGATTGTCATGAGTATGATAATTTCAGTAAGACCTCTTCAGCCCTTTCACAAATAAATGCACATATACATCAAAATCATCAAAGGGTTTTTTTCACCTATAACATTCAAATCCCTACAACAATCCTAGGAGTTACACCAGGCCATCCATTCACAGATGCAAGCCATCAAGAAGTTAAGTATCCTACCCAAGGAAGAGCTAGACATACAGCCAAGGAGGCGTCTGCTACATTACTCTTCCCTGATCAGTCCCTTTTCCCACATCACAGTGGTGTTTCTTGGTGTGAGAGGTATTCCTCCCGAAACTCGGAACTGTATGATCATTTCATTGACCATCCAGACTTCAGCAAGTGAGATGGAACATAGTGTCTTCCCTAATATACCAGACAATACAAAATGTATCTTTCTGGTTTTTTATTACCTTACATGTTATTTATTTAGTTAACATATGAAGAATAAATATATAGGCCATCTCTTTATTCAGAGAAAAGATTACAACCTTCCATGAGAGCAGTATATGCTGCAGTGATGGGAACAGAGCAGAGAATCTGCTCATATTATTTCACCCCACCTCCTCTGTAACTAATGACACACATTTCTGAAATGTCAGGCCCAGGTTAGGGGAGTTTTCTGTAGTCAAGGAATGAGTTAAAAATAAGGCGCAACAGCCTCCACATTCAGAAAGTTCATTTTGTCCTATTCTTGTTTCCTTCATCCCTATGACCACCACCATCCTAATTTCAGATAGACAGTCCAATGTCCTACACTTGACCTGCTGCTACAGCTTGCTAAGGGAGTGCCTGCCTCCAATCTCCACTTCCCATCCACCCTCACGTGGTAGTGCAAGAATCCACCTAAAAGGCTGAGTTTCTTTAATGGTTCCCTTTCATGTCCAAATTCTGTGGGCTTGTGCTCCATTTGGTGCTTAACATGTTATGCTTACATATTCATGGATCTGTCATAACACCTATTCTTTTTTTTTTAATTTGCCCAAAGTCACCTAATTAGTAGGTGACAAAGCCAGAATTTGTTTGTTATTTTTTAATATATTTTATTGATTATGCCATTACAGTTCTATTTCCCCCTTCACTCCCCTCCACCCTGCACACTCCTCCCCCACCATTTCCCCCTTTAGTTTATGACCACTTGTCTCAAGTTCTTTAGATTCTATATTTCCCATACTATTCTTGCCCTCCCCCCATCTATTTTCTACCTTCCATCTATGCTACTTATTCTCTGTACCTTCTCCCCCCTTCTCCTCCTCCCACTCCCCTGTTGCTAACCCTCCATGTGATCTTCATTTCTATGGTTCTGCTCCTGAGCTAGCTGTCCTCTTAGTTTGTTTTTGTTTTAGGTGTGGTTCTTAGTAACTGTGACTATTCTAAAGCTTTGTGGGGAAGGAAATGATAAACATATTGTATTTGCTTTTGTGTTCTTTATACCTAACATTATTGTTACCAAACAGAGGTCAAAGGCGGGCAATATTTGGCCCACTCAGGGATGCCAAAAAACTGTTACAGAAAAGATACATTGGGGACAGACTCCAGAGGATGGTATACTAATACCAACTGGACCCCCTATTGGGCCCAATTGTCTGTCACCAATCGGAAAGACATCTGTCAATGCCAGAGATTAGTGAAAAGGAAAAGAAATGTTTTTTAATGCTATACAGGCCTAACATCTTCATCAAAATATCAAAGTCCTTTAGGATATCTAGCTATTCACACAGCGCTCCCTTCTCCCCCTGTCCTAACTCCGGGTACCATAAATCAGGAAAAGAGCACACATCTGTTTTTCCAGGCTGCTGGTATCGTCAGCTGTGTTGCCATCCAGGCAGAATCTCCAATTAACCCAAAGTCATGCGGCACCTTCTCATGGTCCACTGAAGAGTTCTTTCTATCCATTTTTCCAGGCAAAGTCTCTCCTGCTTCCCAGGCCACACAGCCAAAGGGAGCACTCCAAAGCTGTGTGGGCCTCCTCTACCAAGGCTGCAAGGGTCTGCACTCCACTAAAAGCGTGTGGCTTTCTTCTTCACCTAGCTGCAGGGGTCCCCACTCTAGCAAAGCCACGTGGCTCCCTCTGCCACCTGGGCAAGAGGAGGTCCTCACTGTGCTAAAAGCGCGTGCTCCACCTCCCACCAATGGCTGCTGCATCTCCTCCTTTGCAGCCCCATTCCTGACTCCTCCCACAATTGGTTACACCTGCCAGGACTCTGTATCCTCCCAGCTTTACTGGGCTGCCATAGTGAGTCTGGGCAGGTATGTCCCCATGGCATGGAGACATGCAACTCCAAGTTCTCACGCAGGTGCTGTAACCAGGGGGTGTTACCTCCCGATTACATCCTGGGTGGAAGTCACTCCCTTCTCCCTGGCTCAAAGCATGGCCACAGCTATTTAACATATCTATGAAACCAGTTAAAGGTTACAGATATGTTAAGTGACCATGCCAGAGGTTAGCTGTGAAACTCTTGCTATGCAAAACAGCTCTCAATGGCCCTGCTTCATTTGTCCCTTCCCCCAACTGACACCTGTGGGAGGGGGGAGTTAAGGGGTGAGGATATCTTATATGTCTTTCTAATATTTCCTGGACACCTTGAGTTCTGGACCCCATTCCAAATCTTTTTTTGGGGGTCCCCCTCTTGGCTGCACCCTGTGACACATCTACATCTGTCTGTCTATGCAGACACATCCACATAGTTTTAGAGATTCTAGAATTGTTGGCATTTATTTTATCCAAATAAGTATCTGGCGATAGATGGTTACAAATATTAGTGGCACACAAATTTATTGTTTGTGCTCTATAATTAGCTTTCTCTTACATTTTGTTTGGGGTGCTTTATTACATTTTTCTGGTTTTCTTCTTTTCCTTTTTCTAAATTGGTCAGAATAATACAGATTTCAAGGGCAAGGTACCCCACAGTAGTCTGAGTGATGAGATTTATAATCTTAAATCAAGAGAAAAAATATGGTGATAGATGAAAATAAAAAATTATATATATCTAGGTTTAAGGAAGGAGGAAACAAATTGTTCAGTAGCAAAGCATTCAAAGGACAGTAAGCAGAGTCTTGGGGACCCGGAAGCAGAGGAAAAGAGATGAAGTGGGGGTGACTGGGAAGGACTGCCGGTGGAAAGTTGAGCGGGGCCGAGGCAGTGAGTTTTCTTTCTCCTCTGAGTTCTCAACATGATGCTTAAAAAAAAACAACAGTATTTTCCAAAAAGAAAAAGATGAGCTTTCATCCTCTATCCCCACAGAGCTATTCATATGAAGTTATTTCAGGATTTTCCCTTTTGCTCTTATGACATCTGTTCAGAGAAAGATCCTAATATTTTATTGAAAAACTAAGATCTGTGCAGATGAACAAAATTTGGAAAATTAATTTTTCTAAAGGCAAAAATACACTAACCCCCCTCTAAATTTGTTTAGAGGTTTTAGGAAAGGGTCCTTCAACTTTGGACTAACAAACACTACTCATGGTTCATAGCTCCAAACAATTCAGATGTCTTACCATTTGGCTCTGTGTTAGTTCGTTTACGGATAAAATAAAAAACCATACACAGGAATACAGAGGGAGAAAAATAATGAAACAGCAAGACCTCTGAGCTCCCTCCTAGACCCGGCACCCGGGACTCAGCAGCATTGGCCTCACTCTTTCTGCAGTGCAGGAGGCTCACACGATGCCGCGAACTACTTTCACGACTTTGTCCTTGCTTTCTGGCAGGCAGGCCGGGTTTGGTAGGGCTTCCACAGCATCTGTGGAAGATGCTGTACTTCCATATTTTCACTCCAAATATGCAGTGGATGGCTCTATTCAAGGCATAAGCACTAAGGACTGGAACTGCGTTCTACCAGAGTAGCTGGGAGAGCAGGAAGTTTGTTCCCCTGGACACTGGGCCAGGGGAACCCTGAGGCAAACGGACCCATTAATCGTCCCTGTAATCTGTCCATTATAAAATCAAGGCAGACTTAGCCAAAAGTTAGTGGATGTTGAGCTATCAGAGATCCCTAAAGATCTAGATTAATCACGATAATGTGCTTGACTTCCTAGAAGAATTTCCATAAAGAACATTTGTTCCAATGCAATCCCAGTGCAGGGAAATTTCCTTGTTTACAGAATGTGTGTATCACTAATACAAATGTGGTTAAAACAGGTTCCTGGTGTCTACATGAAGCTCTGTTGTCTCTGCTTGTCCACACTCCAGCTTAGAAGTGTTTTTTTTTTTTTTAATAAACACTGACATGGCAATGTTACATATACAGAGAAAAGCACACATATCTTAAGGCTTGTGCTTGACAAATTTTCACAGAATGGGCCCCTCTCTGTATCCACCACCAAGGTCAAAAAAGAGCCCTTACCCAGCATCTCAGAGGCTGCACTAGTGGCCCCTCCCATCCTACCCTCCCCTCCTCCTCCAAGGCAAGCACCATCCTGACTGCTCTGAATTTTAGAGACAGTTAAAATCAAAGATAGTAAAACTAAAATAATTCTTATAGCCTTCTGACACGTGAACCAAATTGTCTTTCTCCAGTGAAGAGTCTGATGGGGTTTTTTCCCCACCAAGGTCAAGTCCAGCATAATAGCGTCTTCCTCCCTCCTGATGAAGTTCATGGCACCACATAACATGGATGATGGCTCAGCAGCCCCAGCATTACCCTCTTGGGAGGCCTAAGGGGTCCATGGAAAAGGCTCCCCTTCCGGGCATGTACAGGGAGAGCCGCACTTCGGCTGAGCGTGGCAGCCCGTGACAGCCCGTGACAGCCCACAGTGTTCCCCGCTCCCTGGGGTGCGTGCCCTGGTGCAATTCCCCTCTATGAATCCAGACTGACCTCATGACTTGCTCCTCGTGAACAGAGTCCTGTCAACAGAGCAAACGTAATGTGACCTTTGCACGATTGAGAGTGGGATGTGACCCCCCCTTGCACACTCGCTCTCGCTGTCTTACTTGCCCTCGGGGAAACCAGTTTCCGTTTGGGAAGCTGCCTTATGAAAGGTGTCCCCAGGCAAGGAAGCGTGTGGCTTCCCACCAGCAGACAATGAACAACTGAGACCCTCAGTCCAGCAACCTGCGAGGAAGTGGATTCTGCCACTAACTCGATGAGAGAGGCTGGAGGTTCTGCACCCCATGGAGGAGTGAGTGCAGCCCCAGCCTACGCCTGGATCACAGGCCTGTGAGGCAGAAGCACCTCACCAGGCCACGCCCAGATTCCTGACCCACAGGCTCTGTGAAACAATGTGTTTATTGTTTGTGTTTTCTACAGTTTGAGGTATTTTGTTACCTAGTGATCAGTAACTAATGCAGCAAAGGCTGAAGGGATCAGTTGGTTGGCCGTGGTGCATGGAGAGCAAGAGGTCACAAAGAACCACATGGGGCCCGTAATGCTTTGAATTCTTTGTACAAACCTGGCCTCCCAGGGGCCAGGCCAGGACTTGGTCCTGGGATGGTCTAGAATCCTAAGACTGCTGTTCTATGAAAGGTGGGGACACAGTCTTGCTCCTTCTGGAAATGGCCTGTACTGTCTGTCCTCTCCTTAGCCTCTATTTCCTATTTCTCCCACTGTGGACTAATACATGTGATCCACTGACACACACCTACCCAGACCAGTTTCTCCTCCGTCCTTCTCATCTTGACATTCTCCATCTCTTACTCATGGGTCAGTTGTCTGCATGGTCCCTAAGGGCCTCCGATAGGCCACCACTTCCCTGCTCTGGAGAATCAAAGCTCCCAGGTCTGTACCAACTACAGCACTTACCACATTGCATCTAACTGTTTCCTCTCTGTCCCCACTGTCCAGCGGGGTCCATTCAATGGTCCCAATGCCCTAGAACAGTGCCTGGTACACAGTAAGATTTGGGAGATATTTGTCCAGTGAAAAATGTATTCATTTATAGCACCTATCACAAATAACCAAATTTGTCAACACTGTACATACTGTGAAATCAAATATATTTATTCATCTTTGAAATGAACGCTAGTGATGTTTGCCCTCTATAAATGTTAAGGAATTTCTCCTCTACCTTTGGATTTTATTTCTACAATTAAAATACTCCTTTTGCTTTTTATTTTTCAGCCTCATTTCTGCAGATTTGTAGGGTGTTTATGTCTTCTATTGACTAACGGAGATATCTGACTCAGAGTCACTCAGCCATCTCTCTACAGACTTGTCCTTTGATTACCGAAATTTCTTCCTGGAAAGAGACTCAAATTCTTGATGCAAAAGGACATGCACAAACCAGAATTAAATCACAGGACCTATCACGGCTTTTCAGAATCTATAAATCCTTTGCTAATTCAGGACCATTTGGCGAAGTATCCTGGCCCCCTCCTGTTCATGCTGTAATCTACATGCGCAAGCTGCTTTTGTTATGACGAACCGTTTTAGCTACAGGAGACCCTGAAAATAGCTCCAGTACATCCTGTGCGCAGCCCCTCATTCCCATTGTTCAAACACCTGCTGGTCCGTGTTTCCTTCTGCCCGGCTCTCAGAGCACATCTTGGCTGCAGAGCCTGCAGCCGAGAGTCACGAAGTCTTTGCTGTGTTTGAAACCTAGAAAATGTCTTCTGGATGTAGTGCAGAACAACAGCACTTTGATGTATCAGGTGGAATCGCAAGGTCTTATTAATATTACTGTTTATTCTCCCAAGGTGACTGTCTTAAGCTCTCCTCACATTTCCTGTGCTGGGTAAAAGGGTACAAGAAACAAATGGCACAAGGCTCTGGGCTGGGAGGAGCTTCCCATGTGAAATTTTACACCAGAGTGAATGTAAAAGTCAACACCTGTGTAGGAAAGTGGATTGACCGGCAATGCCCTGGGAACGGTGCAGTGCTTTGAGAACACCAAGGGTCATCTCGCCCCAGAGACTCCCTTGGCTTTTCTGCCTCCCCCTCCGCCCAGACAAACACACAGTGGCTGGCAGCAATCCCCGCACAGCCTACCATTCCTCACCCCGCATGCGCGGAGTTCGTCCACAGTTGGAGACTGTTTACCTTTAATGTGCTATTCAAGGTTCGGATTTTGTGGAGTTTCTCATTGATGGATGGATTTTTGCACCGCTTCACAAAGGACTTCCTCAACTCCTTTCTGGTGGAAGGGCGTCGGTCCCCAAGAGGGGACAGGCTGGCTTGCTCTAACGATTTGTAGAGCTTTTCCATTTCATCATCTTCAGGTGCTTTTGTTTCTTCTATTGACATGAAAAGCAATAACAATGAACCGAGTTAAAATCAAGGTGAGAACATCAGACACTCTGGGTCCTAAAATGAGGTCCTGCTGACACTATGATCTCAGGCTTCCACCTCCCAGAAGTTTGAAACAATGAATTTTTGTTGTACAGACCACTCCGTTGATGGTACCTTGTTATGAAAGTCATGTTCCCTTTGAAGGCACTAGGAAAGGACCCATTCCAGTCTTCTCTCTGTGCATCTGTCGGTTCCTTGGCTTGTGGCAGCATAACTCCAGTATTCATGGCTGTTCTCCCTGGGTGCCTGTCTCTGAGACTAAATGTCTCCCTTTTATCAGGACACCAGTCACTCTGGATTAGGGCTCACCCTCCTGACCCTACCTTAACTAATCAACCCTGCAACTGTTCGATGTATAAGGTAATATTTTGAGATTCTGGGGGTTAGGACTTCAACATAGGAATCTGGAGAAATACAATTGAACCTGTAAGAGGCCACCATCTAACCAGCCAAAATTCACGTCCTTTTATTCATACCACCCCAACATCTCCAAAGTCTTAACCCATTCCAAGATCAATGTTAAGTCTGAAATCTAATCCGAATATCAAGTAATGCTAGTATCGGTGAGTCCCAGAGAATAATATTCATCCTGTTGCAAAATTCCTCTCTGTCTGTGAACCTATGAAACCAAAAGAGTTATGTGCTTCTTAAATACAGTGATGGGCAGGCAAACCCCAGCCAACTTATACACACCCTAGGGCTTCAGAACCACTGCCCCAGATTACTTTTTAATGCCCTTCCTAGAACTGCCCTTTGAGAGAAGGAACCTGCCTATGGTCTGTGGCTTTGAGCAGATAATGATCATTCTTTGTGCTTCCTCTGTCACGTTTCTAACCATGGTTTCCCAGCCTCAGCCCAAAGGCTTCTGGTGAAGTAACACTACCCACAATCCAGGGGACCACATGTGCCCCTGCACATGGTAGGCTAACCAGATGGCAGTTCCATCACACTGGCCAGTCAGGGATTTAGGAATAAGCATGGGTTTCAGGTCCGGCCAGGTGTAGCCAGGGGCCTCAGTTCTGAACTTTGATTTGGGAGTAGCAGAAAATCAACCTCCCTAAACTGACTGGCATGATGATGTAAGCTAGAGGATTCCAGGAATCATCCCAAGAATCATGAGAATGGAGCCGTCTCTAGGACACAGCTGAGACATACATCTTTGTGGCACTATTGGAGCACTCTCGGCTCATGGAAGCCAACATACTGCCTTTGTTAAGACAACTCTGGGTGTGGTGTGGGTCACACACAACTGCAAGGACCTCAAACAACACAGAAAGCTACCCAAAGAAAATCTCTGTATATTGGTGTTGCTTTAATTTCCTACTAAGAACTTCAGATCTGTACTCCTTCATTCCCTGGAAATATATCTTGGGTAAGATACACAATGATGTTTCTTTCCACCACATACTCCTTAGCATCTGTGCATTTCACTCTTGTCCTAAGAACAAGATCCACAGAGGACCATATACAAAGGATGGCATTTGGAGGTACTGAGAAGAGGCTGCCCCAAAAGGGAGGGGAAAGCATACAATAGGAGTCTAGGACCATCAAAATCAAGCAAATTTCACTCACTTTACAGTTCATTCTTGTAAGATTAGAGATCTTTGAACAACAATTAGTTTTCCTTCATCTACTGCCAGAAAGTTATGACAAGTGTTCCCAATATTTTTTCATTAAACAGATACAAAGGTGCTGGACTAGCTCTGCAACTGACTTAAAGTATTGGTCAGTAAACCTCTTTGTTCTTCACCAAAGTGGTGAAGAACCAGTATCCAACATAGTGGGAATATTCAAAACTACGTCTAAACACAATTAGACTTTGTGGCTCAGGCTGTGTGAGTCAGTTATCAACACTGAGTTTTTGTCAAGCACATGCAAAAATGCTCAACATCATTAGTCACCAGAAAAGACAAACCAAAAACCACAATGAGATACTACTTCACACCACCAGGATGTCCAAAATCAAAAAGACAGACAATAATAAGTGTGGGAGAGGATGTGGAAATACTGGCACCTTTATACATTGCTGATGGGAATGTAAAATGAAGTCACCACTTTTATAAAACAGTTTGGCATGTAGGAGCAGTTCCACTCCTAGATATACATGAAGAGAATTAAAAATATGGCAACACAAAACTTGCACATGAATACTCATAGAAACACTATTTATATAGACAAAGGGTTGAACAGCCTAACTAGTCATCAGCTGATGAGTGAATCAACAAAATGTGGCCTATACACACCGGAATATTACTCAGTAATTAAAAGAAATGAAGTACTGAACATACGACAATGTGAAGAAAGCTTGAAAACATTCTGCTAAGTGAAAGAAGGCAGGGACAAAAGACCACGTATTGTATCAGCCTGTTGACATAAAATGTCCAGAACAGGCAAACGCACAGAGACAGGAAGCAGATCAGTGGTTGCCTGGGGCGGGGGGGGGGGGTGGGGGTGGGGGGGGGGAGGTGGGGGGTAGGGAATGACAGCTGAAGTGCACAGGTTTCTTCCTGTGGAACTAAAAATTCTCCAGCTACACGGTGGTGAGAGTCATACAACTCTGTGTGTTTTCTATGTGAGACGCGTCTCAATAAAGCTGTAAGGAAAGTAGCCTTCCACAAAATGATCTCGACAACTGCTAACGCCACACAGAAACACTAAGCGTGGTAATGGTCCTGCAGTGAAGCTGGGGACATTAGAAACTTTTAAGAAACTTAAGTAACTTAAGTTATTTAAGTTGAATCTTAGAGAGGACAGGAGGATTATTGACTTTGGAAGTTTTCATTCTTTAACTGGTTTTAGAGAGAGAGAGGATGGGGGGGACATTGATTTGTTGCTTCACTTATTTACGCATTCATTGGTTGATTCTAGTATGTGCCCTGACCAGAGGTCAAACCCTCAACCCTGGTGTATCAGGACAATACTCTAGCCAACTATACCACTCCACCAGGGATGGACTCTGGCAGTTTTCAGACACACAAGGATACAGCAATTTTATATACAGGGTGGGGAAAATAGGTTTGCAGTTGTTTGTGTGGAAAATAATACAATAATTAACAATTGATAATATAAGAATAAATTGTTTCATGTACTCACAAATGTAAACCTACTTTTGCTCAACCCTGCATTTTTTTTTTATAGCTAGGCAGGTGGGACTTTACTTTGAATAAAGACTAAATACATAGCTTTCAACAGCACAGTACTTTTAAAGTAAGTAATACATCCTTCATAAACTTCAGAAGCAAATCAAACAAGCATGTAACAAAGAAGAGAAATAGAATGGTTTTTTCAGGTTTCTCTCTGTTCACCAAACTGTGCAGTTGTGCTACTAAAATGCATGATAGATAATTACTCTTACTAACACATTGGTTTGCAATTATATTAGAATAAAATTATTATATTAAGGTTATATATCTAATTCAACAGATATTAGATTGGTAAAGATTAAAATAACTTTAGAATCTCAGAGTAATGTGGCATAAAGCACATTTCATATATGAAAAATAAACAGGACTGCCTTTTGGGTAATTTAATTTTTATTTACTATACTTATATGGGTATATACTATCTTTACGTTAAAAATATCAGAGGTATCTCTCTTCTACACACAACTATCATTTCACCTGACTGAAATTTTGGGACATTAACAGTGAGAATACAGGTGTGTGTAACTTTAAAATTAACACAAAGGTAAAGTGGACCTATTAAGATTACTGGAAGTTAATACAGAACTCATCCAAAATATGACCAAGTAATATTTGAAAACAGAACACTCTCTATTTGGATTCACTTAGAAATTGGAGATAATAGTGAGATCAGGTTAAAGCTGTTGGAGAAATAAGAAAAAATGAAAGGCAAATCCTTATTGTGTTCTTCTTATCTCTCAGCCATTGTCTTTCCTTGGAGGAAACCTTAAACTCAAAGACTGTGTTTAACTTCTAATAACATGACTCCAGAATTGCCCGCAGACGTTAAGGACAGTAAAATAATAAGTGGCAATGTGAGTAATCAATACAAATATTTTATGGGCTCTTTTGTGTCATAATCTGAGAGATGAACAGTGTATTGCTAGATACTCAAAGGACATACCTGTGATCAAACCACATCCACTCCTAGCCAAGGACTTCATGTTGTTTTTACTGCGGCTAATGGCTGGTGCTTAGCTGTTCACAGGCCATAAAATGAGCATTCAGTAATAATGGAAGCAGGTGACAAATGGAATCATGGAGCAGGGGAAAAGGACCCAAAGGGTGAAAGCACACAAGGAAACACAGCTTGCACCCGAGCCCAGAGCACAGGGGAGTCTTCTGACAGTCACTATGCAGAAGATCTGCCCACCCACAGGCCCCCCCCCATCCGTGTGTGGCGCTTCTCCAGAAAGTGACACCGTACAAAGCTCCCTTTGATATTTTATGTAAATATTTGCTTAAATTATAATTACATATTAGAAAGCACTAGATTACTTCTATTTTATCAGATTGTAAAAAAAAAAACAGGCAAGAAAAAGATTGGCAGACGAGACCACTGATCACCCTCCCACTGGAAACAGAAGCCAAGTTCATTATTTCCACTTGCCTTGTCTTCTGATACAAAATAAATGAATTCTGTCAGACAGTCAAGTGTTTCCAATGCAATTGTTACCCTCCCTCTCTAGAGTATATTTTCGTCTTCTCCCATAAAATAGCAGGACTGTCATTCCCTTCTCCGCACAAAGCATTTCATAGTCCACCTCATCCAGCCTCACGAGGGCTTTGCCAAGAAAGGTGAAAACTATTTTTTACTTTATGGACGAGAACAAAAGGAGATGCTAAAAAAAATAGTAACTAATCTTTCCCCAGTGTAAATCGGTGATAGAATTAAGGGAAGTTCAATTCCACATTGTGTCGTTCTACGTGCTTCCGGGCCAGTCTTCTCAAACTCTCATGAGCAAAAGTCGCCTAGAGAGCTG